TGCCCATGTCGATGGCCTCTTCAAACAGAATCACAAACGTGACTGATTCACGTGCATCACCAATAGTCTGAAATGATGGCTTGTGGCAGGAGTTAACTGATACGAGGCTGAGATGTTGAGAAAAGAATGGCGCATGCATATGTATTCACACTACGTGTATGTATGAGATGCCAATGTCTTGTGACATTCTGTGTTGGATCTGCCGAGGTTGTGTTGCTAGGCGAAATTCGGGAAGAGCGAGGATTTGAGAAGTCTGAGTGTGTCCATCACCGCGCGTAAGTTTCGATGTTTCGTTGAGGCCTATGGTCTATGGCTGACTTTTTTGCCGTCATGGTTCTTCCATGTCAGTGGTGGAGTCCGTGCCCGAGTCCGAGGAGTGACACAATAAGGAAGATCCGCAGCAGCCCAGGCCTCAGAGTAGTTGAAGTATGCAAGCCGAACACGGCGGCATACAGACAGACTGCATAAATTCGCTCCGAGTTTCGAGGGCTGTCGGCCTGAACCGTGACATGACATGTGCGTATTAAGCTTGTCATTCATCCGACACTGCACCCTTCACAGAGCCTTGGAAAGCACTCGGATCTGCTGATGATGCCTTGGGTCCCAAATGCTTAGGCACATTGCGATACCTAGCCGAAACGACTTTTTGTCATCTGAATCCGATTCCCAGGCGCTGGATCGTCAGTGAGATCGGATTCTGAAGCTTGTAGCTTTCCTCGTGCAATCAGTGGCCCCTAGAGAGAAAAAAATTTAAAGTTCCGATGTGCACAACGTTTGCAGTAGTATCAGAAAAGCAGCGCCATCCACTTGAAAAAAAGTTATGACGTCCCCTGGCGCGGAAGGCACATCACCAGCACAACAAGCAGTGTAAGTAGGAAGTGATCATTGCACCGCAAGCAACACGCCAACATGCGAAAGCACACTCTGAGTCTCGAACGATAATTTCGCTGCTTGAACTCGAAATGCAGAGGAGCTCCCTGGAACACACGCCTGCCACCCTGAAGCGATTGTGGGCGTGACAACTATCACGGCTATCCGCAACTTTTGACTCTGTGGATCACTGGACCACTAGTTTCGGCACTCAGTCCGTCAGCTGTCATGCGCGGCTTCAACGAGCTATGGCCAAGCGGCAAGTACTTTCTGTGTTGGCATGGCGGCCTTGAATGATGTGAGGCCAAAAGCAAGGAGCGTTTGCAGCTGAGCGGGATGCTGCCGTGGGCCCCGTCTGAGACCGAGAGTGGCTGAGGCCATGCCCAATCACATAAATGACTGAGCACCCAGCCCGCAGCAGCCTGGCGCATAAACCCGGCAGACTGCCATGTGGATTGCAGAACCTTTGTGTTCTTAAGCCTCATAGTGAAACCAGCTGAAGACTAATCGTGTGGAAATTCTTGCGATCCTACCTCGACTTTGGTTGTGCCCGTGCCGAGGCAGGGACTGGAGGATTCATGCGTTATTGCACAAGGCAATCTGGCAAGTGAGGTGAGGAACACAAAGCAGGTTCCCTGCGGGAGCTCAAGCTACGAGATCTGGCCTGGAGAGCGTCAACACCTCCAGCTGACCATCTGAGGGGTCTTGCTCAGTGTCCAACAAGTCCTCGCACAGCGGCTGCGAAGTGCCTTAGCACATCTCAGCACTGGTGAAATCATCGCACCACGAAGGGTACGTCTCGAGCCGCACTTGTCTGATCCTACTTTGGGCTCGGTCTGCTCGTCGAGCTTTCTGCTCTGATAGCTTCGTGAGGTTGAAGGCACTCGGAACGCATATACAAGCATGACGTTGTATGAAGAACTACAGACATCTTCCTCTGATGGCCCCGGGGTGGTACAGAGGTTTCCCACAAGGATAGGCTTGTGTTGGCCTGTCATCTCGAACCGGCAGCGACTGTGGAATCTAAGCCTGTATGGTCCTATATGGTCTGCCAACGCGATCGAAGGTATCAGCACGAAGACTGTCAAAATGCGCTGAGCGAAGGCGCAGGATTGTCACAAGTTACAAACGGCAAGGGTCATCCCTGGGTCATACTGCCATACATTTTGAACAAGATGCCATATCGCCAAGAACTGCTCCATAAATGGCGGGCAGTCCCACCAGCATAGGAATCAATGTTCAGGCACAAGATCCTGAGCTTCGTACATGCAGTCTGCCTTGCCTACCTGCCACTGCCATCCAGCATGCTTCTGCAGGCAAGCATCATTTCCTTAGCAACAACAGGCGCCACGCTTGTACTCAGCTTCGTCTCTGGGCTAATAACCGACGTCTCTCGTGCCCACTTGCTGTAAGGCACGGACTGGATTGCTATATAGCCTAGCACAATTTCATACATAGTTCTATACTTTCGGACTTTCACATGAAGCTGCTCCAACCACTGTCGACGGCGCACGCACACACACACACACTGCAAGCGAGCCTGGGCCCCTTGTGGCGAAGGCCAACCTCAAAAACTGAGGGTGCCTGGCAAGTCATGTTGAGTGTATCCGTGGTTGCTGGGCCTCCCCACGACGGCAGCAGTGCAAAAGAAACAAGCTGGCCTGCGGCGACGTGCCATGGTAGAGACCTGGCATGCACGGCCACAACTTGCTGTGGCTCGGAACGAGACGCCAATGACCCAGTTCAAGCGTGACGTTGATATCACAGGCAGTGCCCTGCCTCGAAGCACTCTGTGGACGCGTTGGCCGACACAACAAAAGAAATGCAGGGAAATCATCAAACCTCGACGAGCAGTGTGCACGCGCATGATCGGAAAGCTGCAGTCGGTTGAAAGGTTGACTGGCGATCGAGGCCTTGCCAAATGTAGACAAGCTTATTCAAGAACTGGCTCTTCGTCCGATTGAGCTCGACCTTGTTCATGTGTAGAAGAACGCATAGGCAGAACTTCCAAAATAATCAAACCAATTCAGCTAGAAGCATTGTACGCCAGCTCCGCATCCTTGGCAATACCACCTCCAGAAGTCGCATGACAAGGATCTCAGTCACTTCTGGGCAGGCACCGATTTCTCAAAACAGTGATTCTTGTGGCCAGCGGCAATACAAAATCATAAACGTCTCCAACTCCTTCACGTCATGTCCATCTTTTCTCACGGGAGCGTCTTTTCTATAGATGGTGCCATCTTCTGCATCCACCTTGGCTTTACGTCTGTTGCCTGATGCAACAGCTACATTAGTCGAGCAGCGAAACAAGTCAAATCACTTCTTTCCGCAAGGTCGCCTTGAGTGTGACCTTCCACACGTCATGAAGCGAAGTTGGAGCCTTGAGCCAATCCTTCCTTGGTACCGCGTAACTTTCATCGACCCTGAACCTTTCAAGCGAGTCGATGCTTGCAGCTTCGTCAAGAAAGCGGAAGCTGTGGCGAAAGTAGTTGCAAGTTGCAATAGAGAATCAGCAGCAGCTTCAGCATTTCACAGTCGTCTTTGAGCAGCGCGCTGGCATCAGGATTCCTTCATGCATTGGACAGCTTGAACGAGGGCACTGCACAGTTTGACCATAAATCATGTCTTGCCGGAGCTGAACCATCCTTGCCAAGGGACCGACCACCCCAACCCAGCGATCGTGAAAAATCATTCCCTGGCAACAACATCGAAGCAAGATAGGCCGTTCAAACCATCCCACATGCTGCCTGTCCCCAATGGCACCATGCCGATGTGCATTTTCTGAGGGTTGATGCGGTGAAGTTCAGCTTCCTGAACCACCCACATGACCGTGCCATCGCCTGCCGCGGCAAAGGCGATCTTGCATACATCTTGCACGACACCGACAAGTTGATGTTCGTTCGAGGGGCATCCGTGAGGGAACGACAGAGCAAACAAGAGCCGCCCCTGCCTCCACCGACAAAAACACGAACCATGTCGCATGTGGACAGGATGTCCCTCATAACATGAAAGCCTTGTTTGTTGCCTTGGTTGCGTGCTGACCCTTTATACTTCACAAGAAATTCATTCTGTCAAAGTTCTGCTATTGGTTTCGTCAAGCTGCCAGCAATTCCCTCCAGCAAACCTGAGTTGCGTTTGCGAGGGCTCTTGAAGTGCAGTACTAGTGGGTGAGTCCGCACGGGGTCTACATTCTAGTCTCCTGCCTGTTGCAGCTACTATCTCTCTCTCTGCAGAAAGCCTTGCGATGCCGCCGCGTACTCGAGCGCCGTGAGCCATCAAAAGCCAGCGCAAGGCACATCAGTGCATCCAGGAGGCTGAAAACATGCAATCGAGCACGTCTTGTCGTCAGAGGGATCGGAATGCTGAAGGGCTGTGGTATTTCGAGAAGCTCCTTGGATTTATTCGACCCCATGCCGTGAGAACAGCTGGAAGAGAGCAATCAAAAGGCGTTCATGGCAAGGCTCGGCCCCAACTTGGCCACCGGACAGCGGGTTCACAAAAAGAAACCTTGGAGATGGGTTTTAGGGTTTAGGGTTTAGGGGTTTAGGGTTTAGGGTTTAGGGTTTAGGGTTTAGGGGTTCAGGGCTGGCCGAAGCAGTTTCAGCCTGCACGTGCAGCCAAGTTGCACATGTTCAGCAACGGCATCGTCACTGCCAGCCGAGGCCATGTACCTCCCACAGAGCAGGATTCAAGTCGAAGTGACAGAATCTTTCTCCAGCCTCTACGAGGACCAAAGCTCTTGGCTAGCTGCCTACCCCCCGCCTACAATGAGCCCAGCAGGCATCAACAAATGCTTTTTGCGGAACCCTGCATGCGTCAGTTTGGAAGCCGTCAAAGAGCAATCTTCTACTTTTTGAACTCACATGAACGCAGCGGCCGCTGCGAGAGTCCAGAACACCAGAGGCGGAACCGATCTGTACAGGAAAGCTGCCTTCGGCAAGCAGAAGGTGTGTATCAGTCTGCCACATGTACAGAGCAAAAAAAGAAGCCATTTCTCCTTCGAGCGAATGGCAGTGGAGTGATCTTCGTTTCCAGAAAACCACGCATAAGGAACGGCGGTGGGATCCCGCTACAACACTTCTCCGATTGAACGGTCGGCATAGAAACCCATCCTGCAGCAGCCGGATATGTCAAACGTAGCGAGCGGGGGCGGCCATCTCGGGAAGCTGCTGCCTTGGCTTTTGCTGAGGCATGGAGCATGCACCTTCAAGATACATAGTCTTGCTGGTCGGTATGAAACGAACCCACGGACAATCGTCCGTTCCCGATCTTCCTGGTCGCCATGGTTGCTTGGCTGCCTCTGAGAGTGTGGATTCATTGCCCCGTTTTATCCTCACCAGCTCAGCCTTCCAACGAAGGCTTAAGCCCTTTCAAGCTGTCTTACGGAGCTGCTGCGCCCAGCATGCTGGGAGCGAACTTGCAAGAACGCGCACTATCTGCCGGCGTGTTGCGCATGAGATGCTTCATATGGTGCACCATACATGTTGGCCTGATAGGCGGCGTTGCCCTGCGCATAAACTCCCTGCGCGGACAAGCATTTGAAAGTTAAACTCTGGAACACAAAAATCACACTGGTAATAGCATGCTCGCCGCTCCTGATCGGCGCCATAGGCCAAGCCCGCGGCTTGAAAATTGCCTGCTTTTGCACATGATTCCGCGAACAACCAGAACGCCGTCAAGAAATGACACCTTGGCCTTGATCTGCCGGGTATTCGGCATACCTGAAGGTTGCTCCAACTAAAGCTGTCATCTTAAACTAGTTCTTCAAGGGAACCACAAAGCTATTGCGACAAAGGGCGGTGGGTTTTGCGGATAAGATGTCGGCATGTGCTGGTGCATCGCGAACTGGTCCCGTTCTTGGTCCTGCTGGGAAAAGCCATGAATATGTTCGCTCCACAGTAATGCCGTACTGCATAGGTGTCCCTGTTCCACCAGGACATCATCATGAGCTTGTTCTTGCCTTGATTCAGATACAAGCTGCCCCACTGTACAACTAGCTGTACACATCAACGGCACATGCGAGAGAGAGAGAGAGAGAAACGAAAGAGATGCACGTGAGAGTTCCGATGTTCATATGGTTATAGGCAAACCCACATACGAATTGAAACACACACACACACACATGTGAAATTTTCCAGACGCATGAGAGTGCATGCATGTAAACATATGAACAGACATACACATAAACACGTGAACGTAGATAGAGATATGTATGTTTGTATACATAAATACCGTAACGTATATTCATACAAGCAAGACTACTTGCACACATGCGCATATATACAAACAAGCACCTACCTTTAGATAACGATAAACATGTACACATGCACACTTTTGCACAAGTATGCACCTGTACACATATACACACATAAATACACACATCCATACGTACATACACGCATACACAAATACATACATACATACATACATACATACATACATACATACATACATACATACATATATATATAATACATATACATTCATATACACATCTATACATATACAGAGAAAATACGTTTGTGCATAAATACATATATGCACAAGTACATCTATATATACATACACACACATACATATACACATACATATATATA